TGTTGGAGGCAAAGCTCAGGGACTCTCTCTTAAGGGGGAAGACTTACTGAAAATGGGTCTGGTACTCGTACAAGGCCAAGCAGAACCTACAGCTTCACTTCACTAGCAAAGTTTCTCTTTCCAAGCTGAGCTTACACCAGAAAGGGATGCTGGTGTGAATACAGTCTTCTAGCATGCGTGTCCACACAGTGACAACCATTTAAAGTACTATCTAAACTTACTCAGCAGAAGAAATGAACCTCTAAAGCCCTTAACCAACCAACTTAATCTCTCATTACATATGTCAGTGGGAAGAATGCACACATTATTTTGGATGTGCAGAAACTCTTTCCCCTTCCTCCCCAAACACACACTATTTCATTGCTTCCTTTTTAATCACTGGATTTTCTAAAATGCTGCCATAGAAAGAATCAGTCCAGCTTATAGACCCAGAACCAGTGAGTTCATCGCTTCTCTCCATCCAGTCGTGCAAAAGGCTACTACTTCCGGCTTTTGTTACTGTTCCTTCCACTTGCCATTAAGTGCCATTGACAATTGCCTCAAGGGCTCAATTATGCTTTTGATCCATGTTCTCATAGCAGTGCACCAGATCTAGTTCCAATCTTACCAGTGACCATGGCTGCAGCTCCAGTATTAGCAGCAGGAGCATGAGCCCAAGGATTGGTTTCACGAACTGGCATAGCTGTGGACACTACAGCAGCTTGGGATGGTTTAGCAGCAAGCACACAGAAGGCAGAGGCAGTGCCATTAACTAAAATGGGAGCAGACAACATCAGTGCAATTAATTCATGCAAGGCATGCATGTGACTAGAATATTAGTGGCCATGTCACACGTATCAACATACAACAACTTTAGACTCTTCCACATGACAGCAGTTTGTGTAAATTAGCCAAATTGGACTGACAGTTAATAAAGCCAGTAAATTCCATTTCATCAAGCCAAGGCTTGTTAACAGAACTGTGGGATGGTGGATTTTTATGTATTTGGTGAGACCTTGAGTTCTGATCACCAAGTGAAGTTAAATTTGTTGTTTTTATAGAGAATAGATACAGCTCACCAGGAGTTACTGCATGATTAATTTTAGATTCAAAAGAAGAGCAGATTGTAGATGCAAGGTAACAATAACTGCATTTAACAAGGCCAGGTTCTTTTTTCACACAATTTGTATAAAAGCGTATCAGTGAAATGAAGACTAGAGGCTGCTATAAGTTGTATAGTTGGCATTTCTCCACAACTTATCTAAGAGTTTGTGTGAAAAAAAGTAATCATGTGGTGGCACAAAATCTCTCCCCTTGTGGGATTTGGTTCCTGTGACACACAGTTGGTAAGGTTTTTGCAGTTCAGGAGGAAGGATGTTAAAATAACCATTATATCAAAGCCAGTCCCTTTTACGGGTAACTATCGTGTGGTAGGTGCACAAACTTTTTGTTAAAAACAAAAACACAGGCAAAACTAAACAGACAAGATGAATAAAGCATGATGCACTTCCCCAAAGTACTGATAACAGGATTTGCACAAAAAATTAAGATCACATGTTACTGGAAAGCAATGTTATGTGCACTCAAGCCTCATCAAGCATGATCACAGCACACAAAGAAATCACAAACCTTGAAAGGCAGGAGACTGTGGTGCAACTACTGTCACTGGTTTTGTCATGGGGGCCGAAGAGAAAGGATCTTCTGATGGTGCGCTGAAAGCACTGGTGATCTGAGAACACAGGGCACTGATGCTGTCTGTTTCCCCTTCTACCTCAGGGACTGAAATGTAAATAAAATTCATTCAATTGGAAGTTTAAAGGATACAGAAACAATGTACAACTACTAATGTGAAACTGAAATGTAATCAGCTCCCTCTGTCCTGGATGTTCCTGTTACTGATTTGCATGACAGCTTTTTTCAAAACATCAGTGTTGAAGACCTGACCTGAACTAGCACATATCAGTGTATTTTGTAACTAAGTCAAGAGGGTTAAGGAGATCAGCATTCCAGATTTAAAGTCAATTATTACTGCTTCTCTGTGCTAATGCAAGAGGATGTTAATTTCAGAAAATAAAAGGGTTTTCTATAGCTACAGTAGAGATCTCAATCTTTCAGTATTAAAGTGCTAAACATATCAAGGATTTGGCACTAAGATCTGGCACTCTTTGAAATAAAAATACTTATGATAGATTTAAGTGTTCCAACAACATACTTCCACAGTAACTAGATGAAGTTTAAACATGCTGACAGCAATGCACAGCAGCAGGTTAAGTCTAGAGTAAGAATGTTGATTGCTTCAGTTCAGCAGCAGCTGAAAAGCCTAGCTCTTGTAGTAAAATTATGAAAAGCAAAAGCTGAATGCTCAAATAAAATGGACTCTCAGTTTTAAACCAAGTATCAGCATAAAGTGCATAAAGTAACATCTGGAGTAAACCTGATGACTTGCCAGATGTGCTCATTATTACTAATTACTATAATTACTATTACAGTACTGCTTTTCAGAAGTACTGCACATCAGTCCTTCATTGCACAAAACTGACATGAGCAAGCAAATAAACAAAAGTAGTACAAAACCCATTAGATGTCTGGACACAACATGCACCATATCTAAAATCCAGAGTGAGGCATGCTCAAAATTTGATTCTTTGAGGGATATTTCAGTACAGTGCATGTATTATGACAGTAAGCCGCACGGATAGTGGCATACATGGAACATGCATCAGGAATGTTCTGAATCATGAAAAACTCAAATTGCAGCATGCTCAGCAAGTATCACTAGTGAGCAGTGCACTATTAGTGTAAAACTGATAAAATCTGAGCTGGTCTTAAAGCACAAGTCACCAAATAAGGTTTATAAGAGAAGTCAGACTAGGTATTTTTGTTGGATTTGATGATTTTTACCACAATAGGTTTTACTTTAAAGCTTAGAACCCTAAAACTAGCTGTACTGCCAAGTGAGAGCACAGTTGGCCTGCAGGATAACCCGCTAAGGGGATTCTAGGACATCTTGTAAGGTACTTAGCACCCAACATGTTTCTGTTGCGATGGCTCTAGAAACCCACTACCATCATGTGAAAATTGCGCCACGCATTACTGGTGCAGCTAGCTGTAGCACCTAAACAGTACAGTTTCTTTAACGCATGGTGAAAAGCCATTTCATTGCCCTCAAAAAAAATTCAGAGAGGCAGAAGGACAGACCACAGAAAATCATCACATGATCCCATGACAAATGCTTAAGGCCTTGAAGGGATCTATCACTCAAGATGCCCTGGCATTAAGTGGAAGAACTGGTTTAGTGACTCAGAGGGAAAAGGCAGCAACTACTCGTTCACCAACACCCATTCCTAGAGCATTTTAAGCTGTGCTGTGACATTTCAGGTAGTTATTAGAACTGTTTGTTTTCTGCATGTGAATACTGCATTTGAAATCTTTGCCTATTCCCAAAGCAGAAGTTTTCTGACATGGTGATGTCTGTTCATGAGAAATGATCCACATGAGGCAGGAAGAAGGATTTACTAGAAAATAAGTAGGAGAAAATAAGGAAAGGAGACACAATTTAAGGTAACGTTTCATTAGAACCGTTTGGTTTTACCTGAATTTTTCATGGGGAAATCGGTCTTCCTTTGCACTGTTGAAGGCAGCTCATTTATTCGCAAAGACAACTGGCGTTTAAAAGGAGACATCTTTTGGCTAAGGGCAGGGAAGCCCCTGAAAGACCCTTGCCTGGCAAGCTGTTCTATAGGGGCATGCCTCCGTGGAATAGCGTGGGGATTGCTCATTTCTTTATCCAGAGAGGCAGCAACTTCAGCAGTAGGAGAGGTTGGTGAGCCAGAGGAGGGGGCAGTATTGTTTGGTGCAGCACCTGGTGCTACTGTTTTCACTTCTGTTTCAACTGCTGGAGGAAATAGGGTGAGGTTAGAAGAGTAAAGCAAAGTAGTGTTCAACTGCCTGCCACTAGTCCCATTTGTTTTGACAAGAAAAAATGTGGGAATTTGTATAACTAGTACTCTTCCAAATGAGTTCCTAATATCGCAGCAGAAAAAACACTTCTGTATACTCTCATTGTCTTTACTATGTCACTTTACACACATTCAGTCTCCAAAGCAAAACTTCCTGAGGCTAGCTACTTCCTGGAAATGCTGGCCTTATGTTTGTATTTCTTCTAGCTATTCCTGAGACCCCCAGTTCTAGAAACACTTGAAATTAATTTATGACTAAGACTGAAAAGTGTATTGTGTGTTTGAGACCTTTACTATTACCTCATACAGAACTATGGCCAAAATAGTACTACAAACTGCATTAAGTGACTTAGAGTGACATAGCTCAGCAGCAGCAGGGAAAAGAACCCAGCTCTAGGCCCTTCTTTTGAAGGCCACCCTCCTAGCCCTGCAGAATCAGCAGCAACAGCCAAACACACTGCACAAGCTTCAGCAGGCCAAAGGCAGGAGCAGCATTTAACAGGTTAAGCTGTATTCAGTGCTCAGACTGCAGCTCCCCAGCACCTCCAGGAAACACAAATATAATAGATAGATGGAAGTGGGCTGCAAGGTAGGTCCAGCCTTTGAGCTGACAGGCCTTGCTAACACCAGGCACATTTAGAGTGAGCTCCTGTGTCGCTTCCTTAAGCTGTATTTACACAAATGGTAAATGTATTTATAAATGGTAACATCACAGCTGAGTTTAGCTGTTGTGCTACCACTCAATCACTAGCTGGTTGCACTGCACAGTTCTCCAACTTAAAGTCAGCTGCTTCATTTTGCAGGGTTTTGCACAGCACCACGACGCTCCCGTCAGCCAGACCTAATGGCAGAAATGTAGGATTAAGCCCAGTTTAACTCATGACACTTATGATTGGAAGAATAATGGGGGTTTTTCCATCTCTAGGAAAACTCTCACTCATGTTGTAATTGGATTGGCTTTGGGGGCAAGAAACACAGCTCATCAACACAGCAGGAGAAGGAGAAATCTTACTATCCTGGTGTGAACTCCTATTTTACTTACATTGCTTTCCAAACATTTAGGAAAAAGAATGACTTTTTGTTGACACATCAATGGAATAACTGGAAGTCTGGTAAGGAGAAGAGTCACACTAGAGATTTTTGAGGAGCTGGAATGGTAGGAGGAACTAATTACGTTGTCTTGCAAGCTTCAGTACCCATGAGTTGCAGCTGCTCGTTCAAGTGAAACTTTTCTAATCAGTCTTTCTTGGAAAGGATTTCACACACCTTCATTGAGTCAAGACTTTGACTCATGCCCTCAAGTAACAAAGGCCTTGTGTTTAAGCTTCATTTAGCACATTCTAAAACTAATGTATGGGAACAAGCAGATGGATGATGAAAACGAAGATCAAAGTTTTGCAATCGAGTGGCGGCATAAAACTTGCTGTGGAACCCACTGAAACAGAAGTTCAACTCCACTGTAAAGAGGGCTATGAACAATATTTATAATACTCAACTTTTTGTCAGCTGTAGAACTTCACTACTTGTAATAAAACTTGAGTAATAAGTTCTACTTTCACTTGAATTTTAGAACACTAAATGATTTTTTTAAATGGCTAAGAAGTAAAATAGAACTAGTTTTGAGTGTAATTGCCAGTGCATCAGTTATGTGCTTTATGGGGGTGAGGGTGTTGCTTTAGCTTTTTTTTTGAAAGCACACTGTGATTGATCTGTTCTTCCCTCATGCAATATAGCTCTACACTTTGTAACCTGTCTTGAAAATAAAAATACATTATTTTCTAAGAAAATAATTTTCTGTTCATTTACCATAAGATTTAGACTACAATGTCTGGCTAACTCGCTATATTTTTACATCTTTCTAGTACAGCTTTTTAGGATGTTCTACGGTGATCTCTGCCATAAAGCAGGCTGACAAAACAAAGCAGAAGCAGATTTAATATATGAAGTCACTTGTACTTTTTTCTATAGGAGATGTGGGAAAATGCACCACAAGTAAATCTGGGAGCATTTTTCATCCTGTGAAGTGACAAGCGTCTGGGCATACAATTTGTACATAAGGAGGTTAAAGAAGGCGAATGTTGCAAGGAAGTTAAGCCTCAGTCATTGCACAGGCTCCAGTTCACCTCAGTGCTGGTTTTGCTCACCACGGAGTACTGTTTAAGTTGCATCCCGTACCTTTAGCATCCGGCATCTGTCTCATAATTTCCTCTCTCTCTGCTTGTTCAGTAGCTGTAGTGACCCTGAATGACCCCTCTCTAGTGAATGTGGTTCTGCTGGCATCAAAGGTGGCAGTCACTCCACACTCCTTCTCTCGCTTCTGCTTTCGCTCCAGGCATGCTGCAAATGCACAGCCCACGGCATGACTCAACCTCTCCCCCTGTACAAGACAACATCGCATCATACAGTAACTGGAACAGAAACATACATGTGCTTCAAGCGTTGCAATGTGATAACCTGCTTTTGCAAGAGGAATCTAATTAAGGCATTAGAGAACTACTGTAACTGGCCACCTTTTGTACGGCTCTAAAATTAAACCTGTAATATAAAGACTCCCAACTACTAAGGTACAAGCAGTGTTCAAGAAGGCCACCCAGAAATGAAAGGGATTGTTGGATAATCTGTTTAGTTCAGCTGCTACTAAGATGCTAGGGCGATAACCTGCCTGCACTGCTCCCTTGCCTCTGGATACATTTGTTCAGAAACTCTTATGAAGCCACATCTTAAGTGGGTGTTAAACCCCAATGGACAGGTAAGTGGTACTCTCAGATGAAGGAAGTTTACAGAGGGCTCAGGGAGACACCACCCTTAAGTGCAAGGGTGAAAACTAAAAGCACAGTGGTGACTGCTTACACCTTTTAATGACCACAGCCAAATGCAGAAGTTAGTATTGAGAGTGCCCTCTGAAAAGCACTTCCAGTATTAATCAGTGAGATCTAAAGGATCCACTACCCAATAGCTGCAATAGGAAAGGAAATCAGATTGGAGGAAGTCCAGCAATTCAGCTGATACAGTGGCTACAGTTGAGTCAGAGGCGCTATTACTACCAGTAGCTCAACTCATCTATTGTAATCAGTAAGTGAATTGACTTGTTATTCAGAGAGGAAAATAGAAAAGCTCCAGCTCTAACTAAGTCTAGCTGGGAATTCCTAACTTCATTGTTTCTCTTTAAAGAACAATGATAAATTGTCAAGCACAATTGCTTTGAGCATGCAGCTATGTGGAGTTCATGCAAGAATTTTGCATGAGGTTTCAAGTGTTTTGTATAGCATAGACAGGATTCAACAAAAAGCAGAATACGGAAAAGGTCAGATCACAGAATCAAATAACTGAAGTCTACACAGCAAGAGACTGATGGAGGTAACTTACTTTCAAAACTTCTACTGGAAAAATACCACTTCAAAACCAACAGGATGCTAACTAAATGCAGTTTAGCCTCATCCCTTTAACATTCAGATGACTTTCCATTCAAGATAACGCCTGCATACAAGAGGCTGCATTCATAACCAGTCTGTATCTATACACTATGATTTTATCCTAGAAAAACTGTCATTATGTTTCAGTTTTTTTCTGTAAATATTTTCAAATGAGAATATCTTCTGTCTATTTTTAAAAGAGTAGTTCCCTTCTGCTAGAGATATCTGAGGCTGACTGCATCCCTGTTATATACATGCTAGGCACCACTTCTTTCCACAGGACGACACCACAAAGGGATATCAAGTAATTCAAATATAAAGAATTAGAACTAAAATAATTTTCCAAGGACTGGCATCAAAACATGTATTCTAGGCACTTAATTTTCCTGAGCATAACTTCCAGCTAGTAGCTGGAAGAGTTGGACACATACACATTAAACTTACCGTGTCCTTTACAGCCATAAAGCAGTGGCATATCCAGCGTCTCGTTGTGCCATCTCGACAGATGTATGAGAATGCCCGGTCAAAGTTCCTATCTGGTGCGCAGAAAGAAACCTTCTCTATTGTCTGATCAACTATAAGATCCTAAAGGGGAAAACCAACCCCCACCCCCAATAAAAGAAATGTGAGGAAATATGGAGAAACACTTGAACAAATAATTTTCAGTGTTAAATGCAAGAAGATGAGTTATAGTACAAAGAGGATAACCTGATGTGACTATGTCAGTGAATTCACCATTCAGAATCTATTTCTATTATGAAACAAAAAGGACAGATGACACATTCCACCAGCTGCTTTTGGTAGAAGTGTGCCAAGGCACCACATAAGAATTCAGGGAGTCAAACAATTCCTAAGGTCTCTCCTCTAGATTATGGAACTCATGGTTTTATTTTATTTTTACAGCAGCTCCAGAAGTCTTGTAATCAAAAAATATTTACTGTGGTTAATCACAATGCTGAAATTTATAGGAGAGATCTTCAAGTGTGACAAGGCTTAGCACATGCTACAGAAAGACTAAAAGCTGATCTGCCAATTAGCTAAGCAGGGATGCAGGCAGAAAAGCACCAGCAGCACTGTTATGGAGTCTTGGGTGACATGGTCTAGTGCAAGGTGTCCCTGCCCATGGCAGAGCAGATGGAACAGACGATCTTAAGGTCCTTTCCAGCCCTAACTATTCTATGATTTAGAATTCTATGATTTGTTCCCATAGATTGATGTGAGAAGTGTTTCTAAAAAGCAAATAGTTAAGAACTATGCCATCTTTGTTAAAAATGGCATTTCAATATTTTTTTGGTTCTTTTGGTTGGTGGTTAGTACTTGGCAACTGTTCTCATGTATTCAACCACCAGGAGGCAATAGTATATTCTAAGTTTTATACTTTTAACAACCTTCCGGGTCTGCACAACTCATAAAAATTCAATTTTAAAAGATAAGATATACACAGCAACATTTCTAAAAATAATAGATGTATTATTATTTTTAAACAAGGCACTCAGTAGACTGAATGCACCCATTGGTATGTTTGTATTAGAAACTGAATTCTTATGAGACTAAGTTTAGTGCTGATGAAACCATAACACCATAACAGCAGTCACAGAGCAGGTATCCAACATGCAGTCATACTGCAAAGGCATATGAATTGTTCTCTATGTGCTTCACAATGTTGGCTTGCAGAAATCATCTTTTAGGCTGACAAAAGTAAGGGTTAAATTACATGAATATGAAGCTGAATTAATTTCAGATTACTGAGAGTTAAAATTGTTCCAACAGCCATGCCATCTTTTAAAATACTAGTACACTTACAGAGACACACCTAAAGCTTTTATTTCTGATTGTCTACATCAAGATAAAAGCAAGAATTCTTTGCTATTACTTGCACACAGGCACCCTGGTGGTACATACTGTGCTATTTCACAATTAAAAAAAAGAAAAGATAAAACAATCTAGAAGAATGCTACAAATACATTAGTCTTCCACTTCAGACCAGTATCTTAGATATTAGAATTAGAAATCATAAACTTTATACTCAGTTACTATTCAGTTTGAGTCTGAAGGCAAAACATACCCTATTACACTTTTGGAAGTCTTGTTCACTCAGAACCATTCTAGGATTTGGCTGCCCTGAAAATTATATTGATTAATATGAATTTGCCCATGTATTACTATTGCAGCCCTCTGCAGTGGTGCAGAACAAAGTCAAGGGACTTTGAGAAGTTCAATGTCAACAGAACATTACTGGGAAAAAAAAAAGGTTCTTCCAGTAAACGCGACAAAAAATATTCCAAGCTTGTGCTACCTGCCACATTTTATGGAATGTTTTGAGAGTAGTATGAAATTAAGCGGAGAAAAAAATTAGCAGGCATACATACATTTACAAAGCAAGAAATGATTAAACCAATTATACACTTCAGTCTTCCTTTCAAATACCAACATTTGCATTAACATAAAGATTGGTGTCCCTTTAAAGTTATGGTACATATATTATTATAGAGGGATTTAAAACTTTTGTCCAGGGAAATCTAACCTTTGTTTTCTCATCTACGACTCTGAGTCCATCCGCCGAAACCCACAGGACTGCTTTAACAGCTTTCTTCCCAGACTTTCAAAAAAAAAAGGAAAAAAACAAAACAAAACAGTTTTAGCCCAACAGCATCAGATCTCCACCCGCTTCCCCTTTGAAGAACCGTAACATTAAGTGTAGATGAAGTCCACGGTCAGTAGGGTACC